GAGTTAGGTAAGACCCCACCCCCAACCATATGCTTCCAGGTATCTGCTCTTCAATTAGGGAGCAGTGAAGGCCTTAGGAGAGAAGCTACTTTTAGACTTAGGGCCCTCCCTGTTCTTAGCCTAAAATAATCTGCATTTTTAAGTTATGGAAGTAGAACTCCAGGCTCACCGGGCCTTGATTGACCTCAAGTTCCCATACCAATGTGACTAAAAGCATACTGAGAAATCTCTCTGACCCTCTTGGGGAAACTGACCTCACAACCCCAAGGATTCCCTTCCATCTTTAGAAAGGTTGGAGACTGATGCAATGAAAACACCACCTCCACACCCAGTTCCACCATTTTACTGTCCAATCACAAGATTTCATTGCTAGTACTGAAAACTCACACCCTCTAAACAAAGCATTTTGTTTTGACTTTCGCTTTATTTTTTTAATCCACATTTGCACTCCCCTTCACTACTATGAAGTGAAGCCAAAGGACATGCCTGTTTTATTTAGCAGGTGGAAGTGGAGGTCTGGGGTTCCCCACTGCCTCTTGGCCTGTGCATGGCCCAGAGCTCTCTGATTTGTTGGGCTGATGGCCCTGCCTGAGCAGCCTCTCCCAGAGGCAGTGAGTCTTTTCTCACTGAAACCGCTCCTCCTGGAGCCCTCCCTGGTGGCACAGCAGGTTAAAGCGCAGCACTGAGAAGCTAGCCTCAGCAGAGTTCGAGCCCCCACCAGGGAGATGACCCACATGGCACAGAAGATCTTTCATGTCTTGCCCGCTGCTCCCCTCAGCGTGTACTTTGTGGTCGGCCTGTTCTGCTCCCCACTCTGTCTCTGGTGAATTCTCTCACGGCCCTTGCACTGGCCCAGTACCCCAGTTCTGTATGCATAAGTAAATAAATCTTTAAAATAAAAAAAATAAAACAGCTTCTCCTGGCTAGCTGGGAATGAATGTCTTCTTGGGCCCAAAAAGCAAAGGAGGGGAGAGGCAGGGCTCAGACTGTCTATGCAAACCTCTTCTCTTCGTTGATTAGATGAAACTGAGTTGCTTTATTTGGGGGTTGATTGCCTAGACCCTAGAGATTGCCGGCTGCGGTTCCCTGCCGGTCAAGGTCTTCGGCAGTGTTCTCTGATAATCAGAACTGAGTTACTACTGTGCCCCTTCCCTCGCCAAGAAAACCAACCCTGATTCCCCACAACCCCAGTGTCCTGCTTTCTGACCACTGGAGGGCGCTCACTCACTGCCCCAAATTTCAAGGCGGGGGCTGTCTGGGCAGGAACGTTTCCAGAGGGAACCAAATAGAAGTCTTAGGACTTGGAAGTGCAGACTGAGAAAACGGTCGGTGGATTCCTGCTGTCCTACCACGAGAATTCCGGTTCCTTATGGGAGAAGGGCTGGTGGGGGGTGGGGTCAAAGGGCTCCCGGGAGGCTTATTCCCCGAGCTCTTGGGAGTTTTCCTCTATCCCCACCCCTTTCAGGAAGAGGGAGGGGCGAGGTGAGTAAGAGGGAGAAGAGTATATGGCCTCCTGCTGGAGCAGAGATTAGGCTCCCCGGAAACGACCGGGGAACTTACACAACTCAGACTGGACCTGGAGAGAGAACTGTGGCAAATGCCTCATTGTCCTGAGGCGCAGTTTACCCCCTCACCACCATCCCCCCCCCTGCTCCTGAAAGCATTAATGCAAACAATGGAATCAGACAATAGTTCAGAAATTAGTCATCTTCCCCGTTAAGGGCTGCAAGTCAGGCTTGGCCCGGTGAACTAAGTGGGATGATTCATTCTGCTGAGGCTGCAGGGATGGGCTGGTTCAATATTGACAAAAATTCTCAAAGCTGCATTTGGCCCCACCCAGAGACCCCCACCCTGCCCTATTTGTGAGCACCCCATGATCACAATCAAATCTGTGTAGCTGCCACCACTCCCAGTAAAAAGGACCCAGTCCCTGAATGTGGGGACAGATTCCCAGTGTGCTTCCCCCCTCCCAAGGGGCATGCAGTGCACTCACTGAGGTGTTGGGTGTGGTCCCGGACAGGCACCCCAGGCCAGGCTTTGGGCAGCTCAGGTTTGCCCTCTGGGTCCCTGCTTCACTGTAGTGAGAAAGTGGACTTAACCCCCCCTGTCCCCAGGCCCTTTCTGGCCTGTCCCCTCTCACCATACCCACAACAAAGCATGTCTTTGGGGATCCTGCTGGAACTCTCTTCTCCACCCATTGCAGGCCCTCTACAGCCTGACTCCTCACTTCCTTCTCCACGCCCTTCCCAGAGTCTTCTCTACACGGGACCCCTTGAGCCTTCCCTTAAGGCCAGGTCATCCAGAGGGGCATCTTTTCCAATTCACCTTCAGGTACTGAAGGAGCTCCTTAGTTGCCCTCCAAGACCACCGTAAACAAACCTTCTGGCATGGGACAGCCCCAAGCAGAGGAGGAAATGGAAATCACTGGGAAGCCAGGACACAGAGATAGTTTTAACCAAAAAAAAAATATTTATTGTACATTTATCCACCACTGGATTTGACTCGACAGGCCCGGCTTCCCAATTTGTTTTCAGCCTTTGAGGACGTCATTGTAGATCATAGCCAAGGCCCCCAGGAAGGTGACGTATTCCTGGAAATTCACCACCTGGTCCTTGTTCCGGTCCAGGTCATCCATCAGCTTTGCAATTTCAGAGTCTTGCAGCTTCTAGGAGTAGCAGGGGAATCCCCACTCAGAGGGGAGAGACCCCTCCCCCTGCCAGGCAGCCCTCCCACCTACCCCCACTGAGTGCTCTCCTGTGCTCACGAGTCCACTGGGGGTTCACTTGGCTTTACACTTCTCAAGTCCTGCTCCTTCACCCCGGGGGAGTGCCCTCCAGGCCGAGAGTGTCTCCAGCCCCACAGGAGAGGGGACTGTGGGCTCAGGGGGGTCTCCAGGCCAGAGCCCCAGTATGTGGATAAATTTGAGTAGGATGCACTGCTCCTCTCCACTCATTGCTCTGCTTGGAAAGGGCAAGAAATGGGAAGGCCGGGGCGGGGGCGGTCAGCTCACTCACCGCGCCAATGCTGAGCTCCTTCTGGATGAGCTCCTTCAGCTCCTTCTTGTTCAGGGTATTCTTGTCACCCTCCTTGCCAGAATATTTGTGAAAGATGGCCACTAGGAGGCCGATGGCCTGGTCCAGGGGGCTTGCCATGGCTGAGGGCTGGGCTAGGAGCTGGAGGCAGAGAGGCTGGTCAGTGGACAGCTGGTCCTGCCCACTCACCCACATTCCCTGTGAGTACCTGCCTGAGCCTTGGGGACAGCCAGGTGGCACCAGGAGGCAGCCTGGGCCTTGAAGGGGAAGGAGAAAGCAGACTGTCGCCAAGAGATCAGCAGCCTGAGGGGGACCAGAGCTAAGGAGGAAGGTGAGTCAAGGAGCAAATGGAGCCACACCTGAGAATTGTCCCCCAGGGGTTACAGAGAAGTTAGGGAGTAGAGAGGTGATGAGATGGAGGCTGCTCACCCAGGCCTACACACACAGCCTCATCGAGCCACACTCTAACCCGGACACACCCAGGGCACACCCTCCTGCACCCCAGAAGGGCACACTCTGGGGAGTCACCCAGATCAGATGCCTTAGCCTGGAGCCAGCCTGGCACAACCCGACGGCTCCCGACTCTCCCTGCCGGCCCAGGTGCGCCACCGACACTGCTGGTCAGGATGCAGGACCGGCACGCCCCCCAGGCACGCTGCCGCCTGCCGCCGGGCTGGGGTGCTCGGGCGGGCGCTGTCGCTGAGCTAACCCAAAAGAGCCAGAGCTGCCCGAGCAGCACTCACCGCGAGACTGCAGCGAGGAGCGAGGAGCGGAGGGAGCAGGGAGCGGCGAAGGGACTGGTTCCGCTGCCCACCCGCTGCCCTTATAGCTGCCAATGTCCAGGAGGCGGCTCACGGGGCACCCAGCCCGCCAGCCCGCCCACGGCCCGCCCAGTGCCCCACCCCGGCCCCTGGTTTACACAACATACACCCCGGCGCCCCCCCCTTCATTTTCCACGCCCCCAGCCCCGGGGTTGTTCCGAGTTCCAGTGGGTGGGGAGCTTAGTGGAAGGATGGGTATGGGAGGGAACCGAGAGGAGGCCACAGCAAGCCAGTCATTGAGAGCTCCCCCTAATGTCCAGACCTCAGTTTGCCCACCGTCGTGGCACATGACACCGCCGGCGGCCGTGGAGGGATGGCCACCTCACTGGCTGTTTTTTTCCGTGGTCATCTGAGTGCCAGGGCGACATCAGAGTGGGTGTGTGTAGAAGACAGTCCCCCCAAGTGTGTATGTGTGTAGAACACACACAGGGTGTTCAGAGTCAACCCCACATAAGGTGGGGGGGAAGGGCGGGAGAGGTTGAAGGGTCTATAGGATATTACTCATAGGACCTGTAGGACACCCCTTCTCCAGCAGAGTTCCTGTCTCCGCCCCTTCCCCTCCCCCACTGCCTGGAATTCCAGCCTCTGAGCCTCTTGCCCGCTAATGAGCTCAGAGCCTGGCCAAGCCCTGTAAGCAAGCCCTTAGGCTTTACCCGGGATGGAAAGTTTTTCAGATCCTCTCCTGAGAGGAGGTGGGGGTGGAAGAAAGCTCTGGCCCCCAGAGATGACTGGGTGGGATGGGTCAGCTTGCTGCTGAGCTGGATAAAGGGGGCTGTGGGCGGTCAGATGCCCCTTCTCCCCAGAGCTGGCAGGATGCCCTCCCCGGAGGGAGCTGGCGACAAGTCAGGCTGGCTGGCCTGTTGCCTGCGGTGGCCCCAGGAACCACCCCAGCAGCCCCTGGAGTCCCCACTCTCAAACCACTTTCCCCGTTAGCTTTCCTTGCAGCTTCCTGGGAGACCAGCCAGAGGCTGGTCCAACTTCCCTGTTTTCCAGAAGGGCAAAACTAAATCAAGCTAAACACGGTGACCACGCTAAAGGACAAGACGTGGGTTGAGCGCCCAAGACCTGAACACCCTGGCCCACCACACCCCCACCCCAGCTAAAGCGGGCAAGACACCATCACAACCATCCTCCCCACACCTGGAGTGGAAAATCTTTATTTCTTCCACAGGAAGGGAAGCCTGGAGCAGGGGTCCTCTGGGAGGGAGTGGAGGGCTTGTGAAAGGAGCTGCAGAGGTGGGTGGGTGATGGGGCTCGCAGGGGCTGGCGCCCCGGCAGAGGGGTCCAGGTCATTTGTTGTCCTCCAGGAAGAAGTCGTTGTAGGCCATGCACAGGGTGGTCAGGAATATGGAGTACTCCTTGAAGTCAATCTCCTGGTCGCTGTTTTTGTCCAAGCTCTTCATCAGGTCATCGATGTTGCTCTCTTTCATCTTCTGCCAGGGCCAAGTGGTGGGACAGCTTAGTGACCCCAGCCCCTGCCCCACCATCGCTCAGTGCCCCACCCTCATTCCCCGGAAGGGGAACCTCAGAGGGAGCCTTGCTGAGTCAGCAACATTCTGAGCTTCCCCAGCCCCACATCCTGCCCCAGCCTGAGACCTGGCTCTAGCAGGGGCCCAGTGACCAACTCAAGAATCTGCATGATTTGCAATAGAGTCCTTTCCCCTCAACACTCTCCACCATCCAAAGAAATAATCATCTAGATCTTCACTGCACCAATAGAAAGTGTTTGCTCGTTGCATGGTGCTGGGGTGACCATGTCTCTGGTTTATTCTGTCCCCCTCGGGGCAGGTGAGCACTGACAGCAGCCACCACTGAACTGTGTCCATCCCTGCTGGGACATTTGCAAGACAGCTGCGTGCCTGGCACCAGGGTACTTCTGGACCTCTAATGGTCCACCCCTGCCCCACCAAAAAGATGGAGAAAGGCCCTGGGGTGCAGCAAGGTGAAAATCTAGACAGATCTTCACTGCTTGCAGCCCCAGGTTTTCCAGAGGAGATGGGACATCAGGAGATGGAAGCAGCCTCTGTGATACGCTCTCTGTCCCCAGTCTGACTCCTGTGACAGTCAAGCCCTGTGTGATGCCTTGGTCCCCTACACTTAACCCTGCTGGAACTGAGGCCCCTTCCTCCACCCGCATTAACTCAGGACAGAGTGAGGCCAGCCGGAAGGCAGAGGGCAGGCTTGGTGATGCCTGTTGTGGCCCCACAGGTGCCCACTAAGGGCTTCTCCTTGGGGTATCTCACCAGAATTCAGGATGTGACAGGAGAACCCCCAGGAAAAGGGACAGCAACACTCTGGCTCTCAATACACCCACTCCCTAGCTGGGTGTCCTTGGCCAAGTTACGTAACATGTGACTTTTTTTTTTTTTAACTGTAAAAATAATACAATGACTACCTCTTAGGCCCTCTCTGTCGGCCTCCTCCCTCCCACCACCTCCATCTGGTAAGAATCAGTTCTGTCTCCTTCCAACCCCATGGCCACAAACTAACAGAAACATCCTTTTGCTTCCTGGGTCAGCACCAGCTGAAAGCCCGGGAGGTGCCAGGCACAGAGGAGATTAGGGAGGGAGGCGTGACCTGGTCCCCCCAGCTCTCTGCTTCCCCCACGAACTTCATCCAGGCTCTGGCACTGTTGCTCAAGCAGAACCCTTTGTCTACCAAAGATTCTCTACATCCTTTGGGGCTGTGCTCCACCCTCCAGCCCCGACCCCCTCCATCCCAGTGAAACATCTCCTGGCACAGAGGCCTGGATTTCTGCCGGCCCAGGATGTCTACTTCCATCTCTGTCTGTACCCTTGGGCCCTCCGGCTCCTGGCAGAGACTCCATGACCAGAGAGCAGATGAGTGTCCCCTCTGCCGGGGACTCTGTGGAAGCTGGACCTGCCCCGCTTCCTTCTGGGGAGCTCCGCACCGTGGTATCCTGGGTCCGGAGTTTCCTCTTTTTTCCCTCCCCACCCCCAGCTTGATGCACACAGGAGCATGAGACTTTGCGATTCAGGGAGGGAACAGATACCTACTTCAGCAAGACACAGCTCATTCTTGATCAGCTCCTTTAGCTCCTTCCTACTCAGGGTCAGTTTGCTGCCCTCTCTCCCTGAGTATTTGTGGAAAGTAGTGACCATGGTGGTCAGGGCCTTCTCCAGAGGAGTCTCCATAGAGATGTGCAGCCTGGAGGGAGAGGGAAGGCTGCATTCCTGGGGAAGCAGGTCTTCTGCTTCCCCCCATCGCTAGCCCACCTGCAAGCCCAGCTGGAAGCCCACCACCAAGATTTAGAGACCAGAAGCCATGATGAGACCAAAACCCACCAACTGGTGGGCCCACATGTGTCAGGACAGGTGGCAATGGGACTCAGCAAAGACTTGGAAGAGCCAAGGGTGAGACTGAGAGTCCCCAAAAAAAGGAGATTGCTCTCTCCTGCTCAGCTGTTGGAAAGGGTTTAGGGCCCAGGAGATGGCAAGTGACCTCCCACAATTTTGGTGGCAGTTGGTGAAGCTGATAAAAGGTCAGGACTTTTGGTCTGCCCCACCCAGCTCCAGGCCTGGGTTTCCAGAGGCTAGCCTTGACCTTACCGCTCTCCTTGGCCCTGAGCCTGAATCGAATCTAATGGGAGTGTCCCATTAGAAGCCTGGGAGACAGGGCAAAGAGGGCCCAGGGGTTAGGAAGGGAGGGGGCTGGAACTGGGAGACAAGTTCTTAACGGGAAAGGGGGGCGGTGTGGGGGAGGTGATCGAACTTGTCCAACTGGCCTCCGGTCTCCAGAGCAGCGATCTACACCTGCACATTGGCCATCGGGCAGCAAGGAGGTGGGCTTTTAAATCTGTTTTTTAAAGCTGTCTGAGACCTGGGCCCAGAGGTTGTGCTTGAATAGGAGCCTCAAGTTCATCAGCGCAGCTGCACCCCTACAGCCCCAAAGATGGAGCTGGAGCTCCTATGACTCAGACTCAAAAACCACTTCCCCTTGGGGAGGAAAGAAACAACTTCAAGGAACACTTACAAGCGTTGCCAGTGAATCTGTGTAGGCCTGATTGAGGACAGAGCTGTTGGCTTTCACCAGCAGCCCAAGCCCTACTCCTACTATTCACCCCCCACCACCCAAAACCTCAGCCTCGCCCCCTCGGGGGACTCATGCAGGGCCACAGTGCAAGGCAAGGGCCCAGGCATTTGCAGGCGTGTCCTGGTTGATTCTCATACCCGCCTCCAACCAAGCACCGCTTCCAGGGAACTCTGATGGATACACTTCAGATACCGTGCCCTCTCCTTCCTGAGCATGGGCCCACTCATCGGGCCAGGCCTTCCTCCCATCCTCCTTGGTGGAGGCTGCCACAACTCATCACCCTCTGGCCTCGTTGTCCAGTTTGTCCCACCCTGCAGATGAGCAGGGAGGTCAGAGGAGGGACTCACCAAGGAAGCAGCGAGCCAAAGGAGCCGCAGGGCAGAAACAGCCTCCTGCCCTCTGCTCTGTGTCTTTATTCCCTCACTCTGGTCCCCAGGAAACCAGGGGAGGGAAACGGCCAATGAGAAGGGGCCAGGGACTCCAGGAGGCCCAGTCAGAGTCCCCTGGGACAGCCAGGGAGGAAACACCTCTGCCATCTCTCCTTCCTGCTTCCAGCCAGAGGGCATAGGGATGTGCAGCGTTCACCACGGTACACACACTGGCAGTCCTGGCAGCTTTCTTTTCTCCACCAAAAATCAGAACTCACAATAAGCAGGGACAGCAGACTGGGGGTGTGGGGGGAAAATCGCAGCTTCAGAGAGAGACCCCGAAGGTGTGGGCCCAACACCATCTCTCCACACTCTAGCCCATTCTCCACAGTGGGGTCTCCCACCCAACACATGCCTTGGGATGGGAGTCAGTGGGGGAAGATGTTCCCTACCAAGGACATGGCCAAGGTCCTTGGCTAATATAAGGGTTTGGCTTGGTTTGCTTACTAGCAACCAATTTATTATAAAAGGATATAATTCAGAAACTGCCACATGAGGAGATGTACGGGGGGAAAAGGGTGTGAAACTTTCGAGCCCTCTCAAAGGTACCATTCTCCCTGACTCCCCCATGGTTTTTAAAGGGCTTTTACATGAGTGGTTTCTTCTAAATCTCTCTCATCCTCATGGGAAAGAATTGTCAGAGACTCTTGGCATGGAGGGCTGAGACTCAAGGGTGGGAGAGGGGATCCTGACAAGGGTAAGCCTGAGTGATGGGGTCCACATTGCAGATTGGAAGGAGCAGGTTTGCAGTGTGGTAATGAATGTGATAGGAATCAGGAGAGTTGCCTGCATCCCAGAGACTATGATGTTGTTTTCCCACCAACCAGTCCAACTATCAGAACAGAACTGAGTCAGGGCTTAGCACCTATGGCTGCAGAACCCACCCAGGCTGCCTGGGTCCTCCCTGCTTCCCTCCACCAAAAAAAAAAAAAAAAACCTCTACCTCTACTCACCCCCAGTTGGCAAGACTGGAGAGGCAGTAGGGACTGATCACTAAGCAACAGGAGTTTCCGAAGTGGAGAGTGATGCGGTAGTGATGTAGGAGCAGGCTCAGGGGAAGGGCTCTCCCAAGGAAGATGTGGGGCGCGGGTGGGGGGGGCGGGGGGAGGCTCTTTCCTGAGCCAAAATTCAACCCAAGTCTCTGTAGTCACATCTGAGGGAACATCTGAGTCACCTCCCCTATCCCCTGAAGCTTGAGAGGAAAAACACAGTGAGATGAGAAGGAAAAGGACCTTGTGAAAAGCCCAAGGGAGCACACTCTTCTGCCTCTGACCTGTGTCTGCCTCTTTCTCCCAGGTCACAGCCATAACACTCACTATGGCCTGGAGGGGCAACCTCACTTCCGCTTGAAAGTCATGCTGGAGCCGCCAGCCACTAATCTAAAGAGCCGCCATCCCCAATATAGATACACACATACATGCACACTCACACATACATTCGTGGGGAGGGGAGCTCAACCACCTCTCATATTCTGTGTTTGGAATTTTCCTTCTACCATCTCCTTCACTACCACTCCTGCCATTCTCCTCCCATCCCTCTGAGGTCCCTTCTGGGCACAATTCCTGATTGAGAGCAAAGACCACTCAATGTTATGGGGCAGAGAAGGACAATATTCTTTTTTATTTTTAGTAGAAGAACTGGGGTGTAGGCCAGAGTTATGGGGAGTGAGGGGATTCACCAGGGACAGAGAGGAGCAGAACAGTTGGATCTACTGAAATACACTGCTGAGGGGAGCAGCAGGGGAAACAGGAGAGGTCTGCTGGGCCATGTGGGTCACCTCCCTGGCCAGGGATCCAGCTCATATCATAGTGGTGATAAGTGCTGAGATTTAACCCCCAGGCCACCAGGGAGGCAGCACAGTATTCTGATGTTGCTGCCAACAGCCTGACCTGACTCCACATGGCTGGAAAGGAGTCCTGCTCCCCGGGGCTAAAGCCCATGGGCTGGATGCGGTAGCCAGAGACTAGGCTGTGAGTTTGGGGCTGAGCCCCCAACCACACCCCACGCGGCCTTTCTCCTCCCTCCTGTGACTCAGCTCTGCCCTCCTCACCAGAGCGCCAAGCTCCATTCCAGACCCCAACCAGGAACAGATGTGACCTTCAGGCCCATCCCAGCCTCAGTGAGAGGTCCTGCCAGGGGCAGGGTGGGAAAGACGGGAGGGGTGAGGGTGCTGGTTGAGCACCCACAGCGGGGGCATTCCGAGCCTCGGGGGTCCTTTTCTCAACCTTTGGCCCCATCCGGTGACTACTGCATCACTCACAGAGACACAGGTGTGTGACATCATTCTCTCAGCACCCGAACCCCTCCCCCCTTCACTACCACAACTGCTGCTCAACTCCCAGCATGCCTGCACCCAACCCCCAACACATCCCCCACACACCCCTCATTCCAGTCTCATAGCTTTTAAGAATCTTTATTGAGCTTGCTCAGCCTCGTGTGCATGTCTGGAGGAGGCAGGGTGAGGCACTGTGCCCACCACCAACAAGGGAGACCCCAGCTGGCAGCCCCCACCCACCACGTCTGAGGCCCCTTCACTTTTTCCGGGGCTGCTTATCCGGGCAGCCTTCAAAGAACTCGTTGCACATCATGGCGATGCAGGACAGGAAAACAGTGTACTCCTGGAAGTCCACCTCGTTGTCCTTATTGCTGTCCAGGTTGTTCATCAGCTTCTGGAATGCAGCTTCATCTGTCCTTTTCTGGAAGGAAGAGGTGAAGGGTAGAAGCGGTAAACGAGTGAGCAGAACAAGACCAGACAGGTAGGAGTGTGGGAAGGGGCAGTCACGCCCCAGGGGAGCCGCACAGCTTCAACTCTCAGCGCTAAGCCAGGGCCTGAGGGTCACCCCGCAGATGAGACCTGAGAAACTGGGCAAAGGGGACCTCTGCGTCTCCCTCCAGGGGGGCTTAAGGTCCTACTAGCTTGTGGCCGGGAAAGCACCATACAGGCTACGTCAAGTTTGATATGATGGAAGCTGTGGATTACTCAGAGAAGTCTGTAGGTGGGTAAGTGTCTCCATAACCAAGTCTTCACGTCCACAAACCAAAGGGAAACTCACACAGTGCATTCATTGCTAGAGGGAGAGCAGGAGGTAGGCCCTCGTGGCCCCCACATCTCAGCTTTGTAGGGCCACCACCTGGAGACATGTAGCCTCTCTCCCTTCCATTAGGTTGCGCGAAGCTCCGGCAGCGTCCGGGCTGGAACTTACCAGTCCGTGCTCAGCCCTCTTTCTGCCGGGCTGCAGGTGAGTGGCAGCTGCTCGTTGCTTCCAGTCAGGAAACTACAACAAGTTCTCTTCCCCACCTGCCCATCTCGGGGAGAGATGCCAGCTGGCTGTGCTCTACAAAAAGACGGTGCCTCCCAGGACTTGCCCTCCTCCCTGGGGAATGCCAACGGGCAGCAGCCACTCACCCCCAAGAAGCTGGGCAGCTCCCGGGTCAGCAGCTCCTTTAGCTCTGATTTGTTGAGCTTGAACTTGTCACCCTCCTTGCCCGAGTACTTGTGAAAGGTGGACACCATCACATCCAGAGCCTTCTCCAGGGGACACGTCATGGCGGTAGTGTGGTTCTGGGGGCAGGTCACAGAGCCGCCCTGATTTTCCTCAGCCTCAGCTATACATTGGAATGTCCTCCTACCCCCCAGGGAGCACTTGGTGGGACTGCGCCCCCCCATAGAAGGACCCCCAGAAAGTAGGGCCCACTACTGGCAGACATGTACATAGCAGGAAATGGTGGTTCTGGCAGCAAACTTTGCAGGGCTCTGGATTTCAGGCTGCTCCATCTGGGAGCCTCCCTCAGTGCTTTTCCACCCCTCACTAAGTCCATTCACGAAGCAAACTGCCCACACCAGCCCCGCCCTGGCCCTTTCTTCTCCCTCCCAGCACTGGGCGAGGTTGCTGGAGGCCTGCCAGGGGCCTGCAGCGGAAAAAAACAGAGGCCTAGTGCCTAGCATGGGGAGGGGCAGGGTGAGGTGGCAGAGATGCAACTACGGGTGGGGCTGTGGTGAAGGGCTGTGCAGGAGACCCAGCTCCCTGGGCTGGGCTGCTGGGCTGCTGGGCTGCTGGGCTGCTGGGCTGCTGGGAGCAGACTGGGGGCTCATAGGCCCAGGCAGAAGCCCAAGGTCTCTACCTTCACTTTGCTTCCTACACCTGAGTGTGCAACAGGTCTGCAAACATACGTGCCCACAGCCACTGCACACCAGCGAATGCTCCAGCCACTGCACACGAGCCCCATGCCCCCGGACACAGGCACAGACACCTGCCCGATTCTTTCTTTTTCTCTCTCTGCATGCGCATGCATGTACATACACAAAGCACACACATCCTGCCCCCAGAGCTTCCACATTCGAATCTCACATCTGGACCCATTTAGCACATCTGACACCCGCCAGCCTCCCTTTCTCCTGATGCTGCCGGCCCGACTCCACTTACGTACTAGTCAGGCGACCACAGCTCTCCAGGCCAAGAGGGGAAGTGCTGAGGACAGGGCTGGGAGAGAGAGAAGAATAGGGAAAGCCTGAGGTCTGACCTATTTATACCCTGGCCGGGCCCTGCCCATGGCAGGGGACGGGGGAACAGGCAGCCCTCCCGTGCAGGCCAACGTGCTGAGCAAGCGCCACAGCCCCTCCGCCAGCCCGGCCCACTGAACCAGCTTCCGGCAGCTGGCAACAGACAGAACGAAACCCCGGGGACACAGGCAGTGCCCTCAGTGGGATGGGCACCCCAGTGTCCACGCTTCAGTTTTATAGGGCTGGAGCATGAGGCCTGGGACCAGAGGTCAGGAGGGAAGTGGTCCAGCCTGCACCTGGGGAAGGGGAGACTGGGGTGGGTGAGGGCTGGGAAATTACCCTGGCCTTCCAGGGACAAAAGGAAGTGAACCCCAGGCTCCAGCCGCCCTTTTGCCCTCTCCAAAGAGCTCGCTGCCATGCTGGCTGAGACTCACTGCCAGAGCTGGGGGCCTGGGAAGAAGAACAGGCGAGTGCCCAGAGGAGATGCGGGGAGAAGAGTCTCGGTTGCCATAATGATGCAGTGGGGTGTGGAGCCAGGCAAGGGAGGGTGCTCTGTGATGGATAAAGAGGGTGTGAGGAGGAGGGGGGCTTGGTGTTGGGGGGCTAGGAGAGGGGCTTAGAGTCAGAGTGAAGATTGGGAATGAAGAATGCAGGGCAGGATGAACATTAAAGGTTAAATAGTCCAAAATGGGGCTCTCCCTGGTGGGGCAATGGGTTAAAGCACTGCATTACAAAGCTCTCCGAAGCCACTGCTGCATGTGTTCGATCCCCGGCCAGGGAGCTGACCCAATGATCAGGCCGGCCTCTCCTGACCCGCCCGCTGCTCCCCTCAGCAGTGTACTTTGTCAATCTGGCTGTTCTGCTCCCCACTCGGTCTCTGGTGAATCCTCTCATCTACCACACCTCTGGCTTGGACCCCAGTTCTGTAAGCATAAATAAGTAAATCTTTAAAAAAAAAAAGTCCAAAATGGGGCAAGCGGGGGTCAGAGTTAACCTCTCAGGGTGGGCTGAACCCAGGGACTGAGTGAGGGTCAGCGGTGTGGGCTAAGGTTCACAGGTCCTTGTGGTTTCAGCTGGGGACTGCCTCAAGTATCCTCTTGTCCCTCCTACACAGGAGACCTTCCCCTGGCAGGGAACCAACAGCTTAGGCACCCTAATCCTTTTAGTGCTGCACTGGGGGCCCCACGGCCCTGGGCAGGGAACAAGCCCACCCACCCGCACAGCGCCACCCTCATCAGCATCCTATCAGAAGGTTTGCGCTCCCTCCCAGGAAACCTCCTGTGTCCTCTCACCCTCCTAGACAGCCCGACAGCCCGAAATAGCTTCTCCCTAAAAGACCCTGGGGTCTGGGCAGGGGGGGGGAGCTCCCAGGGGTCTGGGGGGGGGGAGCTCCCAGCCCCACTGCACCTTATCCTTGTGTTACCCACCTCCTCCCACCGGACTCTCAAAAGCATCTCATCTCAGCAGAGTCTGAAAGGTCCCACCACCCCTCACCTCATGTCCTCCAGCAGAAAAGACCAGAGAAGACGGAGCCCTCAGCCTCTGCCCCAGGGCCCACGCATCCTCTTAGAAGAACCAGACCCAGCCAAGTGGCACCAGCTTTTTATTAGATGTTAAGTCGACCCTTTCCATCATTCTTCTTGCACAAGCTCCGCCTTGACGGCCTCAGAGCAGACCCCAGCCTCTGCCCCCGGCCTCAGACAGCGTCAGAGGCAGCAGCGGGCTGCTCCACACCAGCCGCCATCCATCCCCATCCGGGACCATCCTCTCGCCTCTCTGGTCTCAAGGGTCAGACGGGTTTCGGGTTACTCTACCAGGGCACACATGGGAGGTTCTAGGTAGAGAGGGGCAGGTCAGTCGGGGACAGCCCACCTCAGGGCCAGGCTGGAGCTGGACCCCGCAGACCCCTGACGGAACTCTGGAAGAGAGGCTACTCGGAGCAGGGGGGGTCCCGGGGGGCATTCTTGAAGTACTCATGGCAGTAGGTGCACAGGCAGGCGAGAGAGCGCACGTACTCCATAAAGTCCACCTGGCAATCCTTGTTGGTGTCCAGGACGTTCATGAATTTCTCATAGTCGCGCTCTCGAAACTCTGTCTGTGCGGGGAGGGAAACAGACTGAGGAGGGTAGAACAGCCTGGAATGCGTACACACGCACACACACGTGTGCTCACACGCGCTCGCACATATACAGGATGCCCGGCCCCCCTCGATGCCACCCAGCCCAACCCACATCCTCCTGGGGGAGCTCAGCTACCTCTTCCAGCAACTCAGCCCTCCCAGGGCCCTCCAGGGCCCTCCCAAGTCCTCAGGTCCCTTTCTGAGGGTCTGTTTGCTGCTCAGCGCCTACTCTGCGGTAGGCCTTCTTCAGCACCCGCTCCTCCCAGCAGTCCTCCCTGCAAAGCAGCAGGGGCCACAGCGGTCCCTCATCTCCCAGGGGAGACAGCCAAGACTCCTGCCACTCTGGCCGCTTGCTGGCACTCCCTCCCTGCAGCCTGGCCACCACCTCTCTTGTGGTTCCCTGCTCTTGTGTCTCCAGGTCTCCCCTTGCAGAGTCCAAGCCATGTCTCCCCAGGAGTAGGGGTGGGCGGGGAGGGGCCCCCCCCGCTCACCGGGGTCCAGGTAGGCAGCTCCTTCTGTAGCAGCTCCTTGAGCTCCGCCTGGCACAGCTTGTGCTCGTCCCCGCCACGCACGGCGTATTCCTGGAAGGTAGTCACAATGGCGGCCACCGCCTGCTCCAAGGGCCTGACCATCCTCACTGTCACAGAACAAAGGTGTGACTCCCAGCAGAGACCCAGGCCAGCCCCAGCTTCCCAGGTCTGCTCCCAGGCCAGCCTGAATCTCCCCACGCTTCCCGCCCCACACGTCCCCTCCTCCAAGCCACCTCCCTGATGGCTCCGGCTGCTTCCAATTTATTTCCCTATTGCCTCCCGTGGTTATTTTCCTGGACAGAGGTTTCATTTCCCTGACATCACCTGTCAGGGAGTCCTCCACGGATTCCCCAGTTCTCTCCACCTTTGGTCATTCCCGACAGCAGGAATCACTTGGTTCCACTCTGCAGCCCCCCCATGAGACACAGACCTCTGGCCCTAGAAACCTCCCCCCTTTCAGCCTCCAGGGTTCCGCTGCAGTAACCTGAGGGGGGGATTCTGCCCTTGCTCCCTCAGCCAGGCGCATGGAGAGCTGGACTTCTGCGGGAGGGACGATCGGATCTAAAAGGAATCCCCACGGCCACCTCACCCATCCGCACTCCATGGTCCCCCAAACTCAGGGAAACTGCATACAAAGGAAAATCTGGGCCCCTCTCCATCTCTTACTGTGTCACCCTGGGGGAGCCCTGAACCCTGTCTAGGCCTCAGGTACCTCATCACTAAAGTGGGGTTCATCTCAGCTACCAAGCTTAGTTAGGCACTGGAACCAGGCATTCTCTCTGGTGGCCAGCTGACTGGCCCACGTGAGGCCATGCCCCTGGCCCCTGAGTGGTCTTGAGATGGCAGGTTCCCTATAGGGGTAGCCTGTTCCCTTAGGGGCAGAAGTTTTTTCCAGAATTGCCCACGCCCTCCCAATTCCACTGCCCTCTCCCACCACCCTTTGCGAGGATGCCTCCAGCCTGGGGAAATCCTAACACTGCCAGGAAGGCAACATTTTTTCCATGCGTGTTCAGTGACTCACTCCTGCTCCCCTCAGGGGACAGGAGTCCTACAAAGCGAGGTCACCATGGCAAGATTCTCTCCCTCGCGGTTCCTTCTCCTCTTGGCCCTATATAGTAAATGGCCGCACTGGCTGTGGCTGAGTGAAGGTGAGGAAGAGCCAGTGCTGCCTGGGGTCTCTGTGCCAGCTCAGCACAGAAGCAGGTTCTGGATTCCCAGGAGAAGAAAGAGACCTCAGAACCCCAGAGGTGCTCGGTAAGCCCTTCTGGGCTCCTGCCAGCCAGCCTGGCGCCTCCACTGTTGCTTTTTTAGAAGTCTGGTGCCTGGAGACTAGAGGGAATCCTCCCTTCCCATGCAACCCTGGCCCTTCTCAGCTCCTCTGCGGAATGAAGGGAAGAGGCGGGGAAGGGAGCGGGAGCTAAATGAGCTACCACCAGCTCTTTAACCCAGAGTCCCCACCTGCCAGGACCTCAGCTCCCCATGTCCCCAACCCAGACACCCTACAAGGGACCCTCTGGTCCACCACTCCGACCTCTCTCATCAGTCCCTACTTGTTCATCCCTCTACCCCATGCCCAGACCCTGGGCCGGGTGTTAGGCTGGGTGCCCCTGAGTGCCCCTACACCCTATCCAGGACAGGACCCCAGCAGCAGGCACTCACCTCTGGTGTTGGCAGCTCAGCTATAGGAGCTGGGAGAGGGCATCCCTATTTGTAGGCTCCCAAAAAAGGAAGAGAGCAATTATGGCCAGCCCAAGTAGGTCAAGCTGAGGAAACCCTTAGGGGCTCCCCTGCCCCTGTTGGCCCCTATTACAGCCCCACCCGCCCACCTTTCTTGCACATCAAAGGCCCAGTCTGGACTCTGACACCGCCCCTTCCCTCCCCCTCTCCCTCCCTCCCCAGAGTGGGAAACTGAGGACAAATTCCAGCAGGAAGGGGAGGGAGCAGGCAGGGCTAGTCCTTCACACGCTATCTCTCCCGTGAAGAGGCACCCCAGAATCAAAATTGGGACACACTTTAGCCTTCCTTGGGATTGTACTCCTGAAGAACCCCCGTACTAGAGGGGTCTTGGAGAGCATCTGGACAAGCCCCCTCGTTATGGGTGAGAACACTCAGGCCCTGAGACCCCTCCCTGCCTCATCTCCAGATCCTCTGGTGTTTGGTGGCTTTGGGTTGACGGTCTGTGGGGGCTTTTGAGGTTCGGAAAGATGTGTTCCCCAGGGGCCCTTCCAGTGTCTGGGCTCTCCTTTGCTCCCTAGCACATTGAAGGAATTTGAACAACAGACCACAGGACTATGGCCAGAGCCACAGGGGTTGTTTCCTGCGTGTGGCTCTGTCCAGCTCTGCTCCCCACCTAGGCCACTGTCCTTGCAGTCTGTGGTGAGGGAGTGGGTTTCCTCTGGCGTTTAGCTTAAATATGCATGCTTTTGGTCCCAGATTGTAAGGGTGTTGTGTCCCCTTGATTCCCGTCCTGAAATGCGCCTCGCCCCACATACAACACCTGCTTTGCTCTTGGGCTGTGTGGCCTACACGCTCGGGGAGGACACACAGGCCTGTCCCTGCTCACCTCCTGGAGTCTGCTTTCACTGAGACTTTAGTCTCATTCCTTGTTGGTCTTTCAATTGTTTGGAAAAGATTTTTCTGATCTAGCCTGCATTTTCTGTTGTTTTCAGGTGAAGCAGGCACAGACCGCCATATTGATTGGCAGAAATGGAAATCCCTCCTCAGCTCTTCTCTGCTCCTTGTCTTGTTCCTTGGTCTCAAATACCCCTCCCCATTTCACAGAAAGAGAAGCCACTCCACAGAAGAGTGTGGGATGGGGGAGGAGCTCTGTTCCCAGGCTTCTGAAAAGGCCAGGGCTCTCGGAGGCAGCCAGAGCACCATGACCTCATTCTGGGCCCCACCACCATTTACCTCTGACCATGTCCTCATCTCCCCACAGACTCGGCTCCTATGAATGAGGGAAACAAACATTGGGGAAGGAAGGGAGGAGGGCTGTGATTAGCCCTGTTTTATAGGCAAAGAATTATGGGGAGTAGGAGACATAAGTGGGGGTCAGAGCTGATCAGCAACTAATTCTGTTCTAGGTCAAGTATGTATTCCCATCTGTGACATCCCAGTTCTGCCACCAGCTACCTCCCTCAGGCAGGTCACCCCAACCCCTTTGGCCTCATTTCCTCACCCGGCCATAGTCAGGGATCATATGGTAACTACCACATAGGATGGCTGTTGGGGTAAATGAGTGGCTACAGTAAGTGCTCACTTAATGTCAGTTGCTGTCTTGGAAACAGCAACTCTGAGCCAAACAGCATCTAACAAAACCCCTTTGACCAGAAGCTAATTGATACAAACAGGAGTTCATTTCCTACAGTGTATTTCTGGTCACAAAGTCATCATTAAATTTATGAATAAAGCCCCAAACCCTTTTAACATTCAACAATCTCTTGTGTTCATCCATTTGTTCATTTTCCAACTTATTCCAGTTTGGAGTCGAGGGTGCTGGAGCCTAGCCCTGCACTCAGGCTGGCAGGACCACGCCTGGACTGCACGCCCTTCCATACAGGGCAGGCCTGTCACACACATGCACCCACACTCACCTGCATGGAGATGCGACGATGAACTTCACAAGTTCATCTTGGGGTGTGGAAGGAGGGGAGTCCCCACAGAAAACCCTTGGAGGCCCAGGGAGGTGGTGCAGACCCCACCCACCAGTGGCCTGGACAATTTTTTTCCTCATCAACATGACAACAAAATGGCATTACTCGAGGCCCTGCTCCAATAACCAAAGCTCCCAGGTAGAGTGCCTGGCACTTGCAAGGGCTGGAAAAATGTTAACTGAGACATAGGACTTGCTCAAGGTCACATCCTTAGCAAGTGACAGTCTAAGAGCTATTCAAGCTGCAGATATTTAGGGATGTCATAAACAAAATAGACATCTCTGTGGGGATGCCAGTCTGGGGGGTGGACAGACAATAAACAAAGGGGAGCTAAGCCAGTGAGGGCAATGCTAGAAAGAACAATAATTCAGGACAAAGGGAAAGATGTCAGTGGGGCCCTGGGAAATTTAGATGGAGGCCAAGAAAGAGTGGGGGGGGCTGCCTGGCTCCCCGCAGCACAGTCCCACCTCCAGGTCTTTCTTGTAGCTCATCCTGGCTGCACCCCCAGACTCCAGAGACGCTGCACTTTGTGTGTCCACACAAAAGTATCCACAGGGAGGGGCTGCCACAGTGAGGACACCGGCGCTCACTCTGAGACAACCGCTGTGGGCCGAGAGTGGAGATGTTTGGGTGGGGCACTCTGGGGTTGGAGGGTCAACATCATGGGGCGACCCCTTCCCTGAATTGACCCTCACCATGACCCCACCATGTTCTGCCCCTGACCTCCACTGTGTCCTTTATCTCATTCAGGTCTCCAAGTCCTGGCCTCCAAGATGGGCTTGGGAAGAGTCCTCCCAAGGCTCCAGCTGTGCTCAGCACCACCTACAAGGACTGTGAAGATGCCAGGAAGAGGCCTCGGAGACCAGCTCAGCAATCGCCACTCCATCCCCTCCCTGGAGGCAGCTGGGAGAGGACCAGGCCTCCTGTCCAGGTCAGTTCACCCAAGCCAGGTTAAACGCTGCAACCTCCCTCCCTTGCTCTCCCAAGTCCTGGGATTGACTGGAGTCATTCACCCAGATCCCCCTTATGCAGTGGGTCCATATGCTCAGCGCCCCGAGACCCCACCATGCTCCTCCTTTCCCACCTCCGCAGTGCTCATGCCCCACTGGCTACTTGGCCTCTACCCAGAGCTCCCTGCAGATGTGGGCTGACGGCTGAGGAATGCGCCCGTCTGGCAGGCGAGGACCCCACTCCCAGGAGGAGCAGCGTGAGGGGTGAGAGAGTTGGGTCTGCCGGGACTTCTCACGTGCTTGCCTCCCCGGCCTGGCCCTCCCTGCTTTGTCAACACCAGCCCTGACAGAGGTCCCTGGGAAACTAACTGCCTTTCCCCTAATCTGACTGTGTTCCTCAGGCAAGATCAGATGAAGGTCCTAGAATGCCTGGATGTGCCATGTGTTGTGCTGAAAGGCCTGGATGTGAGGGACTGTCCATCCCACCCCAGCCCCACAGCCCATTGGGACCACAAACCACATCACACCAGTCGGTCCCCCTCTTTTCTCAGCATCTGAACCAGGTGTGGAGAAAGCGTGGGAAGAAAGTCTGATTTCTGGGGCTGGGGCTGCAGCTTGAGCCAGGAAGGCCTTTGCTACAGAGTTGGGGGCTTGGAGGTGGGAGAGCATCTAAATTAGGACCCAGCAGAAGCAAGTTGGCCTTAGACCTCCCACCTCCCTTGACAGCTAAGGTATTGTCCCATTTGCCCATTTCTGAGATGGGAGCAGTGAATCCTAATGAGAAAATGGGGAGCCCTATCTCAGTCACTGGACCCCTCTCATTTCCCACTTTTCCCCTCAGTCTCTTTGCTTGGAAGGTCAACAGGCTGCCAGAGGTTGACCCCAAAGAGCAAAGGCCAAAGTGACGGTGAGACAAGTTGGGAGACAGAGGTGTGTACCCGGGGTCCTCTCCAGGGGCAATCCCACGAGGGAATGAGAGAGCCTGGCCAGCAGTTCTCCCAAGCGTACATTTTCTGGACCCTTCTGCTTGGCCTTCGCAAACACTTGGGGGTTGGGGTGATATAGGGAGGTAGCTGGGACCAGCTAGGAAAGGCTGGCATTTGTTGGTTTGTCAAATACATCAAAGGAAAAGAAATCAGCCAGGGTCGGTGCCTGGCCAGCTGAGGCAAGTGTCCGCCAGCCAGAATATTCCCATTACCTGGAACTGAGCCCCGACAGAAGCCAGGACCCATCGTGGATAGTCAGACGACAACAGTTCAACCACCAGCGTGGGCCATTCCCCACTGATCCAGGAGGGCGAGACCCAGAGCATCCTACTCTAGAGGCTCACCCAAGTCCCCTGTGTACCCCCAAAGCATGGGCTTTAAGATGAGGGAGAAAGGGGAGGGATGCCCAGGCTGCCAACCTCAGGGCACAGAGAAGGGGGCCTCTTGTGGGGTCAAGTCCCAGTTCTGCTCCTTATTTAACCTCCCCCAGTCTCTAGCTCCTCTTTTGTAAAGTACAGAAACTGATAGCACATCCCTCGTCCAATTGCTGTGAGGATTTAATGGGAAGGTGCTTGCACAGACCCCACAGAGAGCCTCCATTAATGGCAGATGGGGCTCCCTCTCAGTTTCCCCACCTGTAAAAAGGCCCTAATGATACTCCTTTTGGAGTTACCATGAGGCTGAAATGACAGTGTACAGGAAGGAGTCTTGAGAAGGGCTGGGGAAATATTAATTACCCCCATCGTGATTTCCTGACCTATATTCACTGGTGCTCTTTCCTGGAGGATAATAGGAAGGTGGGCTTCTTGCTAGGGCTTGCCCAGCCTTGCCTCACCAACCCCAACAGGTGTCAAGGAAGGACAGTAAATGAAAACAAGCAGACTGTTTCAGTAACTTCTCACTCAGCCCTTTCCCATTCCAGTGAGTTCTAGTCCGAGCAACTCTCTAACTAGCTCCCAAGTATTAGAGTTTTTCAGGGAATTAAGAAAACAATTCAGGAAAATATACTCTATTACTATTACCCATTCCCTCTTTCTGTGTTATCAAACTCATTTTTTCTTTCAAACATGCCCAACTAAAACTAGTAACAGCTAAGATTTGCCCTATTACAAGTAAAGGCCAAAGAGATGTAGATGGGTCTCACTGGGGAGGGAAGATGCTTCTTTTATAAAGTCTCTTGAGGAAAAAAGCTTTTGGTGTCTCACCCCTCTTCAGTCTTCCAAACTGGAATGTGGACTGCGAGACCTGGAGGTTCAGCAGCCATCTTGGGATCGTGCAGCAGCAAGCATGATTACAGAGCCAAAAAATGAAACAACATGGAGACAAATGGCCACTCTGGGCCCCTGAGCCACCCCCAAACTTCCTTCCCCAGGTTCCTTGTTATATTAGACAACTAAAGCAGTTAATTCCTAACTGGTGGAGAATTATATATCTGAAAGTGGAGTCCTGAGGTAAAAGAATTTAAAATGTGGAATTGGCTAAGTTGAGAAAGAAAGGAGACAGTGCATACAGGTTGGAAGGTTGGAGATCCTATCATGAAATGATAAAATATTTGGTCAAACTGTCTTCTGAGGGACCTTGGATATAAGCCAAATGGAAGCCGACGTGTGGTGACAGAAGAAGAAGCAAGAAAAGTTTGGAAAGTTGGTATCTGCTGCCTCCATGCATCTTTCCTCAGAGACCAGGAAAGGCGAAATGTTGGTGCCACTGGCTCTGGGATCAGGCAGTGCTAGAAGCACCTGCTAGAAGGACCTCAACGAAGCTGTCAGTAACCATTTAGGGACGGTGAGGAAATTGCTATGACGGCTGAAGAAAAGGAAATTCCTGCTGTAGTGGTGAGATGTCTGGGGGAAACTACTGTCTGTGATAAAGTGGAAAAGAGAGAGCACCTAATAAAAACAGAAAAGTATTTTCCAGCTAAGGAGAATCTTAGAACACAGAAAGTGCTGATTGACTTGTCTGGCTGCCTCTGATGAAATATATGAAGAAAGAAGTGAACTGTAAGTGGGATGATTCCATCTTTTAGCAGAACTTAGAGGAGACACACAGGGCCAAGGACATGGTTCCTGCTACCAAAGTGTTCTCAGGTGACAAATGACTTCAGGCAAAGTCAGGTCCAGGGTCCCAAAAATAAAAAGGGAAGATGAAGTCAAAATCAGACCCTTTATGGAGACCTCAAAAGGACTTCAGGGGCCCTCCCTGGTGGCGCAATGTGTTAAAGAGCAGCAATGCGAAGGTAGCTGAAGCCACTTCAGCCCGAGTTTGAATCCAGGCGAGGGAACTGACCTACATGGCATGGCAGACCCCTCCTGTCTCGCCGCTGCTCCCCTCAGCAGCATACTTCGTTGATCGGCCTGTTCTGCTCCCCACTCTGTCACTGGTGAATCTTCTCACCACCCCTGTACCTCTGGCCTGTACCCCAGTTCTGGATGCATAAATAAATAAAATTTTTTAAAAAAGACTTCAGAGTGAATCTTCTCAGATGTTATAGATCTTCTCAGATAAACAATGAGCCTTCTGATAATTTACAAGTGTGACGTTAGACCCTTTGAAACACAGCAGCCTTTGAAAAACTCAAGGTCATTTTCTCACAGCACCTAGATTCTCAGTCCAAGGTGGAGAGGAATCTTTCTCAAAGGGATTTATAGGCGTGGCTTTGTCTAATTAAGTGAATAATAAATTGAAACAGGAAAGCCACAGCATTTTAAAGGAATTTTATCACCTTGAGCTGAAAGGGAGACAGTTCAAAACAAAAAGAAGTTTTGGATCTTTGGCTTCCTATGGTCAGGAAGCAGGCGAGAAAGTCACTTGAGTACAAGCACAGACATTTCTTGTGGTAAAGCAAGATTTAACTTAGCAAAAGAAATCAAGAGGGTAAAGCAAAGAGGAGGCAAGCACGGAAACAGCCTCAGACCCTAACCAGGAACCTGGTGGCATGTATCTGTGCCAACTGCGCAGTGGCTGGACCCACGATCACTTGTGCCTCTAAGCTATGCCCTGCCTACAGAACGGGAGTGTTTCTTACAGTTACCTTCCTGTCTTGCCTTTGTACATTTGTTAAGGGGAAGGATTTCCTAAAGGAACTGCAGAGTCTTATGGACTCGACCCCCTACTCCAGCTTTCTGGACCCTACACACTACCCCAGTGATTGGAAACTACAACTCCCAGCAGTACCAGGGAGAGAAGTGGAGGACCCAAGGGCGGAGCTAGCAGGAATTCTGGGACATTTGGGGAATAAATAGGGCATGATTGCATCTCTTGCTCGCTGGCTCAGGAAACGGCTCTCCTGATGGTGTAACTCTGTGTGTTCAGTCAGCCTAGCCATAAGGTATTCCAGTTACTTTGTATCCCGCTCTCTTTCCCTGGGTTGTTTCCTATTCCTTCCCCCTTTTGTAAATAAACCCGTCATTGACCCTTTTGTGTGTGCCTGCAGTACAACTGAGTTGTGAGCGCGCGGGTGATGCCCCACAGACAGGCGGCCCAGTCCACTCTGAGCTACCCTGTAACACATTGAATGTGTTGTTTGCAGAACTTCAAATCCACAAGATTCATTCTTTTTTCCAGATTAGCATTTTTTGTTGTTGTTTTGAATTTTTTTTAATTTTATATATATATTTTTTACATCATTCTTCATTTTGTCCTTTTTTTCATCTCAGTTGTAATCCCCTGGACTTCCCACCACCACTTCACCCCTGTGCACTCACCATAGTCCCGTGTGTTCTTCCTGCTCCGGTTTTGATCTTGTCCCCCTTTCCTCTCCCGTAGAATGTCTCTGGTGTATAGTTGTTAGTTGATGTTCGTTTTTACTTTATTACAACTACTATATATATGTATATTTTTTTCCCTGATCCCTTACACTCCTGCTATGAGTGAAACCATTCCACAGAACTAATCTTTTTTTTTTAAAGATTTATGTATTCATACAGAACTAGGGTACAGGCCAGAGGTGCAGGAGTAGTGTGAAGATTCACCAGAGACAGAGTGGGGAACAGAACAGGCAGACTGATAAGGCACACTGCTGAGGGAAGCAGCAGGCGAGTCAGGAGACGTCTGCCGCACCATGTGCGTCACCTCCGGGGCTGGCGGGGATCAAACTCATGAGGAAGTGGCTTAAGCTTCTAAATGCTGCACTTTAACCCGCTGCGCCACCAGGGAGGACCCAGGACTCATTCTTAAGCCACTATCCTGGAGGTCTGCACCTGAGAAACTCCATCCATATCTAAACCTAATTCAGGGAACAAGTTTTGGGTTTGATGCTTAATAAGATGAGATTTTGTGGGTTGTGGGAAGGAAACCAGTGCGTTTTGCTTGTGAATGAGATGTGAATTGTGGTCATTAGAAGACAGAAGATAGTGTCCAGTCTCCAAAAGTGATTGCTTTTAATTTTGTGCATGCTGCTCCTCACATTAAGAGATGGAGCTTAGGGCCCTCACTAGTGGCGCAGTGGGTTAAAGTGCAACATTATGAAGCTATCTGCAGCTACTGCAGTATGGGTTTGATCCCTGGCCAGGGAGGTGACTCACATGGCACAGCAGACCTCTCCTGTCTCACCCAATGCTCCCAGCAGACCTCGCCCAGTCTCCCCCACTGCTCAGCAGTCTGCCTCTTCTGCACCCCACTCAGTCCTGGTAAATCCTCTCACCCCTTATACTCTGGCCTGCACCCCAGTTTTGCATGCATGCATAAATAAATCTTTAAAAAAGAGAGAAAAAGAGGGCTTAAGACTCCTCCCCTTGAATCCTGGCCAGTCAGAATGATTTGTTTGACCAGTAGAAAACAATAGAAACAGATTTCTGAGATAAATCTTAAAGAGCCACAAAACTCTCATTTGGGTCACTGGGGACACTCACTTTGAAAACACTCCTCAGAACCCAGATGCTATGCTCTAAGAAGCCCATGCCTCACAGAGAGGTCATGGGTAGAGGCCAGGCATACTGAGCGAGCTACCTTGGGTGTTGAGTTAATTTGAACTTTGTGATGACTCCGCTTCCATCTGGGAATCTGGCGATATGGGGCAACAGAGTGACTTCACTGGGCTCTTTGCCTCCTCCAGATGCTCACAACAAAGCTGATGTTAAACAAAATGCAAAACCCCTAAAGGAAAAAGGAAACCCCCTGTTGTATCAGAGTATACAACAGGAGCAACAGCCTGACTGAAAGTGAACTTTGTTTAGAGTGATAATGAGTCAGCACAGCCCGGAAGGAGGAGGAGAGGCTGTGGTGCAGAACCCCTGCTGCTGTTGAGTTGGGCACATGCTGACTTTGGGTGTCCTATGACCTAGCACTGCACTGGATAAAGGGGTCCATGAACAGACAGCTGGGATGGAGAGCACACTGCAGGAGAGCTGCAGAGGCACAGAGCAGGGGCTACTGGCTCGAACTTGAGGTGTATAAAACTGAACAGTTTTAGCCTCAATAGGGGCAGAACACTGGACTTCCTTATAGAAAAGACTATTACTGAAATCCAGGCTGAGATATCTGAAATACCTGCCACACCACACCCAGGTTAAGATGCCTAACCCACTTGCCCACCCCTCCTACACACACACACACACACACACACACACACACACACACAAAGAAATTATTTACAACAGGAGTTTCAACTTCATAGGTCTACAGGAGGTGATCCTTTGACACCTTTGCCCCAGTCCTCTTTTAAACCCATTACCAATCCCCCAGCTATTCAATAACTGAAAAAACAAGTTATTGAAACACACAAAAACTCAAAAATGAAGAGAAAGAACACGGTAGAGGGCCCTCCCTGGTGGCAAGAGGGTTAAAGCACAGCACTGAGAAGCTAGAGCCACTTCAGCATGAGTTGGATCCCCGCCTGCCCCGGAGGTGACCACATGGCAGGGCAGACCTCTCCTGATCCACCCTTGCTCCTCTTCACCAATCTGCCTGTCCTGCTCCCCACTCTGTCTCTGGTGAATCCTCTCACTGCCCCTGCACCTCTGGCCTGTACCCCAGTTCTTTATGAATAAATAAATCTTAAAAAAAAAAAAAAGAACACCGTAGAAATGCCAGAGGGGAAAAAAAAAAAGAAATGAAGAGAAAAAAAGGAACTTGAAAGGAGCTCTGACTCAGTGAAGCTGCAGAGCATAACAAAAGGAGAATTCAGAGCAACAGTCCTAGTGATGCCTTAAAAAACAATGGAGGTTATAAAACAACAGAATAAAGACAATGAAAGTATGAGGTAGTCACACTGGAAACAGGAAAACACCATAGCTGATTTTTAAAAAACAATTAAAGGTCTTAATAACAAACAAAAGCAATGGAGAAAATTAGTGAACTTGAAAACACAATCCTGGAGTACACAAGAATAGAACATGGTAGAGAAATAAAGAATTAAAAAATGAAAACAGTATAAGAACTCTCTAGGACAACTTGAGGAAAATAATACTTATATCCTGAGGGATCCCAAAGGTGAGGAAAAAAAAGGCATAGAAAACCAATTTAGGGGCCTCCCTGGTGGCACAAGGGGTTAAGTTACAGCACTATGAAGCTATCAGCACGAGTTTGATCCCCAGGCAGGGGGGTGACCCACAGGGCACAGCAGACCTCTCCTGACCTGCCCGCTGCTCCCCTCAGCAGTGTATTTCAGTGGATCTACCTGTCCTGCTCCCCACTCTGTCTCTGGTGAACCCTCTCACCCCCTGGACCTCTGGCTTGTACCCCAGTTCTATGCAAAAAATACAAACCAAAACACTACACAGATACCGAGACACTTTTATATAGTTGAGAATCAATGACAAAGACAAAATTCTAAAAATGTCAAGAGGAGAAAAGGGTAACTGTACAGGAACACCAATCAAACTAACAGTAGATAGATTTTTTTCAACAGAAACATTACAAGTATGAAGGTACTGGAAAAAGATATTGAAGGTACTTAAAGAAAAAAACTCCCAGCCAGCAAGATTAACATCAAGATAGAAGGTAAAGTAACCACTTAAATAAAAAGCAAAAACTAAAAGAATTTATCAACACCAATACCACTCTGAAGGGCTATTCTAAAGCAATGGAACAATGAGTATCAAGGCAAAAGGCATCTAAATTACTTAACATGGAAGAGAAGGAGGGAAGTAGCATTGTGGCCCATGAGAACCAGACAGAAACCCGACCATCCCACAGATCACACAAACAGTTCAACATTTTCAAACCTCAATAAATCCTTAAGTGAAAAATACTATAAGTAACACATAAGACAGTGGAAATGAAACCCAAACCAAATATAGCAGGAAGCCCTCAAAAAAAAAAAAAGTTAAATTTAATTCACCAAGTGTGGCTAGTCTGTTGTGTAGCAATCGGTAATTGTCCCTAGTCACTGAACAAAACATGAATTGCATGCTCCAGACTTACTATGTAAGGCATTTAGATTAATTTTTTAAGCCACTCCCGGTCAGGTGTTCTGTAACTTACCATTGAATTGCAGTCCTAATTGGTAGAGAATTTGGTAGCTAAAAGTGAAAATCTTTTAGCCTTTGCATACGGGAAAATTGGAGACCCTTGCAAAGCAAGGGTCAGATGGCAAAGCATTTGATCAAACCTGCTGTTTCATAGGATGGAGAAAACATAGAATATCATTTGAGGGAAAATGATAGAAAAAAATCAAAGCATGGATATGAACTGGCTCTTAGTAGCCTTCGGCAGAAACCAAAAGAATAGAACAAATTCAAACTAAAGCAAGTCAATCTGAAGCAAATATAAAAAGAAATACAGATTTGAGGGCCCTGTTGAGTATGTGGGAACCAGGTGGTCCCTTTCCCAGTCTGGTTCCTGTACAGCCTGCTCATAAAGCCCTTTCAAGGTCCCCCCCCCCATCACCCTGGAGAACCCAGGCATTGAGTACCCCTGTGGCTCATTAACAGATCATCACCACAACACATGGGGGTCTACTTCTTCCCCCGCCCCATCACCCTAACATACCCTGGTCCTCCCCTTCGACCTCTGCCTCAACCTCTCTGCTTGAATAGATGGGGATCTGCTCACTCAGCCTGTTTTCAGTGATGACAACACAGGCTTTGTGGACCTGGTAGTCAAGGTTTACTTCAAAGTCACTACTCCAAGTGTTCTGCTGGTGGGACGGTACCCCAGGGCCTGGAGCGTGAAGACTGGGGACACCATCGAGTTCCAAGACCCAACAGGCTGCTAGTCTACCGGGGGAGATCCAAGTTAGACATCCATCCAGACAAGAAATCTAACCCTGTGTTTGCTTCAGCAGTACATACACTAAAACTGGAACTATCCAGAGATTAGCATGGCCCCTGGCAAGGATGACATGAAAATTTGTGACACATTCCATGTTTTTGAAAAAATAGTAATTTTAACAAAGTAAAAAATCAAAATCAAGGCAACTATAATCCAGAGACATTCTTCAGGGGTGGGAAGAAAATGGAAAAGCATGAGGGACTACAGTGGCAGTGCATGGGTGAACTGGTGCCCTGGGTGGTCACCCCACTGGGCTGCCCCCTGCAGGCCACTCTGGGAGCCAGTTCTCTGATGGGGGGCTACCTTCAGAAGGTTCCTGTCTGGCCCCCACCATTCTTATCCAAGTTGCCTTGACCCTGCCTGGGCTGTCCCCTCCTCCACCTCCACACTCTACTGGGCCGAGGCCACGTGCACCACACTCTGCTCGCCTCCGGAGAGAACCACAGTCTGGAAATAACAGAAATGACCAGCAGTCCAGAGGTGCCATTCCCAGGGATCCCTGGCCACCACCTGGGGCCCCCCATTTGCCACCCTTTCTGCAGTTCAGTCCCATGGCTTCACACTGCATGATGGGTAACACCAGAAAATCCTCTACACAGAGGCTACTGGAGACCAGAGGCTGCAGCTAAGCTAGCTCTCCCCTCAGCTGGAGAGGGAGGAGAGGGCTGGTGAGGGCCCCCCCAGCTGACACATAGGCAATCCTAAAACCTCGACACTTCCCCAACAGATCTGAGCATTCCCACAGCAGGGGTTCTGGGCTGGCAGCAGTGGTCTGATGGACTACGCAGAGGGCAGCGGGCAGCGGTAAGCTGAGGAGATCTTAAGCAGGACCTCCTGTCTGAGGATGTTCTCAGTGGCCTCCGTGTTGCCTTTAGACAAGTGTATTACTTCTTGCATATCCACTTTTTCAGTCACTTATAAGCAGAAACAACATTAAAGTAAAACTTTGCTCAGTAAAAAAAAAAAAAAAAACACAGGAATACAGATTTGCACACACACACTGCCTTGCCTGCAGCCTGCACCAAGTTGAAGAGCATCTCCTCGCGTGCCTGGCTGCTCCTGGCACTGACGGGCGGGCCTTGCTGCTGAGCTTACAGCCTCCCTTCCTGGTGGGTAATTTCTTTTTTTTTAAGATTTATTTTTTTATCCATACAGAACTGGGGTACAGGCCAGAGGTGCGGGGCTGGAGGTGGGGAATGAGAGGGTTCACTAGAGACAGAGTGGGGAGCAGAACAGGCGGACTGACTGAAATTCACTTCTGAGGGGAGCAGCAGGTAAGACAGAAGAGGTCTGCGGTGCCCTGTGGGTCGGCTCCTTGCCTGGGGATTGAACTCATGCTGCAGTGGCTGCTGCTAGCTTCATAGTGCTGTACTTTAACCCCATTTCGCTACCAGAGAGGCCCAGGTATATTCTTTTTTTATTATGATGGTAGATGGCATTTGCCTTTTTTAATGTCTTTACTTGGCAAGTATATTATGTATGGTGTAGCAAACTATCTCAATTTCCAAATTCCTAATTTGACATCCTGAAATCTGGGACCAAAGGCATAGCCAAGTGGGGTCTAGGAGACCCCCAGAGCCCAGCATGCAGCTGCACCAGTCAGGTCACAAGGCATAATTGAGCAATTAAACTACTATCAACAAGTTAAAAAGTTTATTGAGTACAAAACTAAAAGGGAAAGAGTCTTCCTGAGTCTGAGACTCGTGTTAGGGCTGAGAGTCCGCTTCAGACCCGATCTGCGGATCCCTCGAAGAAGTCGTTGCACATAACAGTGACCAGAGCCAGAAAGACAGCATACTCCTGGAAGTCCACCTGCTGGTCACTGTTCTCATCCAGGTTGCTCATCAGCTTCTGCAGGCCCTCCTCATCCACCTTCTCCTGAAAGCGAGAGGGGGGGTCATCACCAGCCTGCTGTGTACCCCCACCTCACATAGAGCACACCCCTGGGACAGCCCAGCTCTCGCCCGGTGCTGGGAAGCGGGTGTTCTCCAGAAGCAACTGAGAGCCCCTCATTGGTGAGTCTCCAGCTCTCCCTGTGGGGAGTGGGGAGCCAGACCCCCCTGAAGCAGGGAATCTGCTCTGCTCCCCACTGGCACACAAGCTGGGCCTCACTGCCCCCATTTTGCTGGCAAGAAAACCAAAGCCACCACCACTCTCCATCACAGTAAGTTGAATTGAGAAAAGGCAAACGCTTCTAAATACCAGCCAAAACCAAAACCAGGTTAGGAAATCTGACCCCAGAGTTTGCTACAGCAAGGACACATCTGACAAGTTCAAAACCTGAGACCTGACTTTGGGATTATTGCAGGTGGGTATGGGGAGGGCAAGCGGCAAACTGAGAGTTGACTACATTTCTCTACAAAATATTCTAGAATGCACATCTTTATTGGCTTTTTTCTTCCTGGTTGGGCAAATAACTATGAAAATTGAGGGAGAGCACTTCTGATGCATCCAGGTCATGACTGAGGACTGTCACAGATAGAGGAGACTAAGGCAGACAGGACAATTGTGAGTGTGGTCCTGGGCCGGGAAGATGCTGATGGGGAAGCCAGAGCTATTTCTTAAGGTTTCTATATGGGCTGATAACGTGTGTCAGTGTCAATTTTCAGTTTTATTATGATCTTGTAAGGTGTTAGCATTGGGGAAATCTGCATGAAGTGTGTATGAGAACTTTGTACTATTTTTATATCTTTTTCTAATATTAAGCTACTTAAAAACAAAGCTTAAGAAAAAGAAAATAAATGAGGGAGAGAGCGAGAACGAGAGCACTGTGTGATTTTGGACTAGTTCCTTCCCCTTGTGGGCTCGGGTTTGCTTGACTCTCCAACGAGGAGTTAGAACAGGACTTTGAGGGTCCTCTCAGCACATCCTTCTCAGGGAAGCTGCAGGAAACAGCCAGTAACAGCCTCACGCCTGGGCTCACTGCAGCTCTGCTGGGGCCGAGGAAGGCTCTGCCCCACCCTGGATCTGCAGCAGCAGGCTCAAGCCTTACCCCACACTCACACGCCAGGACCCTCCCATTCCAGGCTGACCCTCCTCACCCCCACAAAGCTGGGCAGCTCCTTGTGCAGAAGTTCCTTCATCTCCCTTTTGCTCAGCTTGAACTTGTCGCCCTCCTGTCCCGAGTACTTGTGGAAGGTGGTGACCATCACAGCCAGTGCCTGTTCCAGGGGGCTGGACATCCTGGATTTGCAGCTGCAGAGATGTGGGTGGTAAAGACACCTCAGCCCAGCCTGCAGGACCAACTGGTACAGGGCAGGGAGAGGGGGGCAGCACTGAACCCCCAAACCTGCCTGCTCTAAGTGGGTTCTGCCATCCGCCACATTAAGACAAAACATATAAAACTTTAATGAAAAGGGACTTTAATACAGTGAGTATACAATACAGAAGACAAAGAATATAATGTCTAAATCAAACACCTGAGGTTACCCATCCCCTCGTGGGCAAAAGTCCACCCAAAAGGCATTGGCCCAAAGCAAGGCCTGAAAGCCCGCCACAAGGCTAAAGCACCTTCTGGCCGGGACCCATGGAAAAGGGTGAGAAATGGCCAGACAAATCTGGGAAGAAAAGAGCAAAGTCAAAATCAATATAAACACTGCTATAGTCGCTTGCATACAGGTCTCTCACCCACATCTGCCTTAACCAGTCCAAAGTCAAGAAACAAGCACTGTTTCTTCCTCACATGCTTGCTGCTCCATGTGGCTTCCTCAGGTCTCCTTCTGGCGCTACATCCTGATTCCTTCTTCTCCCCAGATTCCTTCTCTCCTTTTTTCTCTCCTCAGCTCCACCCTCCTTCTGGGTAGGGCAGGGAACCTGGAACTTCCCCTTTTCCTAGGGACCACCCTGTTACACAACTTCTGCCCCAGCCCCAAATCCTCCTCTGAATGGGAAGAAGGGGCTGCATTGCCCCTTGGCTGTGGCCCCCTGGGCAAGGGCCACCTCCACCAGGCACAGGGAAGATACAAAATCTTCCCCCAGGCATGGAAGTCACCAAACACAAGCCCTCATGTCTCCTCGGATCATACCTGGGGCACACCCATAAGGGCAGCCCCCCCCCTTCTGAGTGTCGTTGGCAGGGAAATGGCAGGGCAGCGGGAGCCCCAACTGGGAGCCCTCTCTGTGCACCCCCCTCCCAGGCTCTCTGCAAGCAAAAGGTAGCATCTCTGTGGCTTAACTGGGGGGCCCACTAGCCTCTGGTGGTAGCCAGGGCTGCAGCCTAAAGGTGTAAGGCATCTCCCTTCTCAGAATGGGGGCTCTTAAGGCCAGTGGGTGTCACATATAACCAGAAGTCCCCTGGCAGGAATGTTTCCACGCCCTCTTGGAGGGTAGCGACTATGTCTCCCTCCAAACTGGAGACCATCAGCCATGAGGCATGATGGGGCCACTGAGCGTCTTACCTTCCAGGAAGGACCCTAATTGGGATTAGAATAAAGAAATTAAATGTCCAGTGCCCCAGGTGAGGACACAACCTCAGGCACAAGGACACACCACAGAGTCACCTTGCCCAGAGCCTTGTCTCTGAGAAAGTCCACAGCAGCCCAGAAGGTGAGGCCAGAGTTGCTGGTGCCTGAGGCAAGGAAACCTCAACCCATTTGCCAGCCCTGCCCTGGAAAAGGGAGAGGAGGTAGGAGAAGTCAGGCAGCTGCAGGGGTCCATGCCACCAGTCTGGGCAGGGCCCCCACCCTTCAGATTCCAGGCTCTTGTTAGAATCTAAAACTTTACCCAAAAATCTGAACCTAAGCAAGTTAGAATTCTAATGAAAACACCTCCATTCACATATATGCTTCAACCTTTTAGACCTAGACCCCAAGAAGAGCTAGATGAAGATAGCCAGAGAGGCACCCCAGATGGAGGGACTCAAAAGAAGGCCTCAATAACCTGAGATCTCACAGAGGAACTGGGAAGCACCCCAACTGGACACTTTACAGAAGGCCTAAATGGAAGCTGCCCAGAGAGGCCCCAAGTCAGCTGGAATGAGGAGACAGAGATCAAGACAAAGTCACAGAGCGAGACCACAGCGGTGCTCCCTCCCCGCCAGTTAAGGAAGAGGCACTCACCAAGCCAGAAGACGCAGACAGACTCAGGAAGACGAGCAAAGTAGCAGGTGCCCAGGGTGGGGTTTATATGCCAGGCCCACTGGCCCCCAACCTGGCATTCCAAGAAACCAGACCTGTCCTAACCTGATCCCACCAAAGCCTGGCCGCCAGTCATTGCACCACTCCGGCCTGGGCCCCTCCTCCCTCTCAGCTTGGCCACCAGCTCCAGCTCCAGGAGAGCCCTGGACCAGATCCGGGCAGTCTGTGGCCACCCAGGTCACGGGAGAGGGGAAGGGGGGTGGTGTGGAGAAGGGGCAGCCTGGCCCAGCTGAGGGAGAGGGAGGCAGCCCAGCTGGTGGGGCCTGGGGACGCATGCCAGGCCTCGTTCTCATGACATGCCTGCAAGTCCCAACTCATTCGTGTGTCAGAGGCTGCAGGGGCATGCCAAACCCCAGTGTGTGACTGGGGGGGGGGGGGGGGCAGTCTGAGGCCACCCTTAGAAAGCAGGGGCCAGAGAAGGTCCAGATGGGGGGCCTGAGGAAGAGGAGCCATGAAGGTGGGCCTTAGGGAACAGGGGAAACAAAGTTACTAGTAAGAGCTGGCACCAGAATACTTCTTAATGAGATAATGAGGAAAGTGGTTGTGCTTGAAAATACCTTGAAAGGCCCCCTTTGGGAAAGAAGAGAGGCAGGGAGGAGATGGGGGTTGTGTCTACAACCACAATCACTGGATGAGCAACATTCTGTGTGGCGTCAGGAAGCCCCAAGGAGGTCTGCAAGAAAAAACAGAAACTCAGGCCTCCTCTTCTCCACAGCCACAGCCTTCCTCACCCCAGCCCCGAGGGCCCTTCCCAAACCAGAAAAGAAAGCAGGCACTGAAGTCACTTAGGGTCTGCCCATTTAGGGTCTTCAGGGCAGACTAGTTCCCGGCTGCCCGCTCCCCACCTCCCTTGCCTACTGCTCTTTGTCTCCAGCCTGATGGGCACCACCCTACCCTCCCCCATCCAGATGTACAGCAGTTGGTTTCCTGTCTCCCAGCCCCCCACCCCACCCCCAGTCTTAGGTGACTCACCAGTGGTTCCAGCCCCAAATGCCCAGGCAGTGACTCAGCGGCACCGCCCTCCTCCCCAGGGGCCAGAGCAGCTGCGGAAACACCAACCCAACCCCAGAGAGAGAACACTGGCACTGGCACGAGATGTTTCATGGGGCCACCCCAGGAGCATCGGGCTGAGCACAGAGGATCAGATCAGAAGCCAGACAGCTCACTTGCTGAGGGTCACCCTGGGCCTGGTGAGGATGAAGTTAGACCCTGGGGTCCCAGCATCCATCCTCTTTAACAACTTTACCCAGCCACCCATTGTCCCTGCGGCCCCAAGGCGCCTGAACCCCTGGTGCTTCTGTCCTTGCTATCAAAATTTATTTCAGGTATAATTTGTAATGAAAATCCTTCACAGCCCCCAAGAGGGCCAATGGGGTACAACACGTTGCTTTTCACAGCACTTTTTCCACTTTACAGAGGCCTTTAGCAGAAGCCCTTCTCTTCCAAAACCCCACAGGCGTCCCCGTGATGTAGCCACAGAACCTGACAGTGATGTGTCTGACTCTGGACACCTCTGCTCTCCAACCTCCCACACATGTACCTGACTTGCTGGCTCACTGTGCGCGAATTCAGGGGGTCACACACCTGGTGGGGCCAGGCCTGAGGCTCATGCCAACTCCTCTGCTCAGGAAGGGCCCGCTCACCACCCTTCCTCCTGCACGAATCCCACCTACTCTTTAAAGGGTGGGAACTACTTCATGGAACCTTCCCAGCCAGACACCAGGCCTGCTGCTCTGTCCCATACAAAGGTCGCCTGTCCATGCATTTAGGGTGCTCCACACCAGTCTGAATCACCTGCACACTTGTCTTCTCTTGCCCTCACCCTGAGCAGTGAGCTCAGTGCGGGACTGGGCCTCCCTCATTTCTGCAGGAGCTAAGGATCTCAGCCACACTAGGTACCAACCCAGGTTTGTGGCTACTGAGAGCTAAGGGTTGGGGCTGTAGAATTGAGGAAGCAGATAGGCCTCCTCCCCTCCAAAAATGACTGATTCTACAACTTCTCTAGATCATACTTGTCTAGATCCCAGGAGTGAAACAGACAGGCCAGTTTGGAAAACAGTCTCAGAGAGCTACAAATCCCTGAGGGGTGAACGCAGGAAACACCTCCTAGAGGTGCAGCTATTGATGCGGGCTGGTGGCAGAGATGGTGGTCAGACTGAAGGAGGGTGGGGGACAGAAAGACAGTCACAGACAAAGGGAATTGGAGGAGGGAGGGAGCCAGTGCATGTGCCAGTCTAATTACTAAGGAGGTAACTGACGGCCTGTCCCTAACAGGAACGAGAGCCATATTCCTGCGTCTGTGAAAATCACACACTTTGCCACAGCCTGCTGGGTGATCTTGAGCAGCTTTCCCTTCACCCTCCCCAGGTCCTCTGTCCCCACTCCTTGGATGGGGAAGGCTGAATAGATGGCCCTAGAGTCCAGGCCCACCCAGAGTCCCCACTTCTCTATGAAGGCAGAGAAGCCAGAACACGGGCAGGCAGCGGCCACCTGCCAGGCGTCGCCTCTGCCCACGCCAGCGGGAGAAACTGGGTCCGGTTAACGGCCACGCCCCCGCTTGGGCTCCCCGCAGTTCCCAGCAGCGGCGGCGGGTTTTGCCCGCTTGGTGCGCGCCCCCTGGTGGCTGAGATGTGCCACTCCAAGCCGGTGCCTCCCTGCTGTCCTTTCCTTCCTCCGGAACCTCCGCCCCGCCCGGCTTTCCCTGCTCTGGACTCACACAGGAGGCAGTGCTGATTCATCCGCAGGGAGTCTTCCCACACCCACACCCTTGCACCTGCCTCACATATAAGGTGTTTCCTGGACAGCCTTTGCCGAGAAGCCCAGGTGGACTTCTGAGATGGAAGCCAGGCGCCGGAAAGTTATTTTCACAGCATTAGATCCAGGGGCAGGAGGGAACCTGGTGGCTCAAGTGAAGGGCTGAACACTACCATGCTCTGACCACTTACTCCTTCTCCCCAGGTAGTTCACGGGGAAGAGAAATGGCCTCACTGCTGGGGCCTCCGCTTTAAGCCCTGGCGTCACATCTGACTCACTGGCAACCTTGGGTAATTGCACCAAAAATCTGAGCCTTAACTTGTTCCCTGCAAGGCTCCCTTTTATTATTCCTCTGCCCCCAAAACATGCTATGAAATCTTTTATCTTAATAAACAGCATTAGATACTCTAGTCAAGTGCAGCATGATCAGCAGGAGAGAAACCACCTGGGTCTTTCTGGATTGCCTTGCTTGCTTGCAGGATCATGCATTTCCTGCTGCAGGAAGGGGCAGGCTGACATTAGGGAGCACATACTGTGTGCCAGGAGTGCTCCGTGCGTTACCTCATTTAATTTATGCAACAGCCTCAATCATACCCCACTTAACAGAAGAGAAGACTGAGGCTCAGGGAGGTTTGCCCTCAAATTCAGCCAATTAACGTGGCAAGTCTTGCACACAGGTGGTGATGGTATTAAACCCCTTCTATCAGCCCCAACCATGAGAACCCCCAGAGCCCTAACATTCTGAGTCCTACTCAGACCAGCCTTAGTCTCTGCCCATCCTCGCCTACACCCATGCCCAGCCCCTGGTCTCATTTCTGGGCTTCCCCTCATGCCCTGAAGCCACCTTCTCCTGCTGCGATCCGGTATCTTCAGCGAACTTCCTTCCTCTTGTCTTCAAATGCACTCTGGCCTGGATTTAAATAAGCCTATCTGAAACTGGCTCAGATCTCCCACCACCTCTTTGCCACAAATAACACCACCACCCACCAATGAGCCAAGCCAGAAATTCAGCTGCCCTCCTCACCTCTGCCTTCCCGTCTCTTCCCTCCAGCTGTCCAGACAATCAAGCTATCCTTTCTGCTTTCAAAATCCTGCCTGGCTCGTCCACTGGGCCTGAGCCCACCACACTCCTTATCCCTAAAATTGTTCAAGCACACCTTGGCTCTTCTTCCCCCGCTAACCTTGCGCCCATGCCCACTCCTTCTCAGTTCTGACACCAGAGTGATCTCAAAATTCAAATCTAAGCATGTCCCACCCCAGGGGAAAACACTTTTTAGAGAAGGCTGGCACACCTGCCTGGGCACCCAGCTCTCCTGATACCCATGTCCCTGCTTGCCTCTGAACCTTTGCCTGAGCCATTTGTTCTCTTGAAAAGTCCTGCTTCAGTTTTTCTGCTTGTCAATCTCCTAATCTCCCTTTAAGTTCAGCTCAAAGATCATCTCTGTGCAGCATCCCTGAATCTACCTCCCAGCCTCCCACCACATACACACATGCATGTCTACATGCATGTAGACACACACGGGACCAAGTGTCAGGTGAAGGCGGGTTTCCTCCCAGGGACTCCTGCAGCCCCTTGCCCACCAACATCTATCAGCACCTTGTGTGTTTAATTGTGACTATTTACGGGGCGTCCCCCAGGCCAGGCTACTGGAAAGTGGACACGGAACATCATTCATTCCCGTCATTCCTGGTGCCTGACACAGAGCAGGTTCCTGATGAATAGCAGATGGAGGTACTAGTCCCTCACCACCAGAATCCTCTCTCTACCTTCAATGCCACAGCTGTAAACAAGGATCTAAATCCAACTGCCCACCCCCAAACCTTCTAGAAGCTGCCTTGCTACCATTTGAAGCACCCAGCTCTACCCACTATCACCAGAAACTTCCCTCTTGCCATTGTCAGTTTGGGGAGGCACGCCACTATTCAGAAGGGCTCTCCAGGGGGAGGAGCCATCCAACATGCTCCTGAGGAAGAAAGGAGGCAGCGATGGGTGACTGGATGCCAGGCAGCTGCCTTCTAGGCTCGGGCTCCCTTTTTCCCACCCAGCAGCCCCACCCGCCCACCTGTGACCCCACTGGGCTCCACCAGGCAGGCTGAAGGTGGACAGCTGCTGTCAGTGTTGACAGGAGAAAGAAGAAAAGTCAATTCATAAAGCAACAGGAGAGAAATTTAAATATCTTTTTTGCCTCAACTCCTTTAAAATAGCAGAAAATATAAGTTGGTCTTGGCCCTCACCCCATTCCTGGCACAGAGTCGTTAAAACTCTTGTCATCGGCCCTCCCTGGTGTCACAACCCGTTAAGACACAGCACTGCAAGCTGGCCGCTGCCACTTCAGTGCGAGTTCGATCCCGGCCCCAGGAGGTGACCCAGGTGGCGCAGCAGACCTCTCCTGACCCACCTGCTGCTCCCCTCTGCCTGTTTTCTGCTCCCCACTTTGTCTCTGGTGAATCCTCTCACTGCCTCCTTCCCCCCCACCACCTCTGGCCTGTACCCCAGTTCTGTATGCATAAATAAATAAATCCTTACAAAAATAAAAAAAACTCATCATGTTTTAGGTGATAAAAGTACTGGGAACATCTCTTGTTCTGACATTTGTCTTTGACCCCTGACACCTGGGCGCCTGAAACCTTGTAAATTCCTAAGTGATAAGAGCATCTTTGTTCTATTAAGGTGACTCTGGGTGGGGCTCCCAGATGGCTTAGTCACCAAAGAGACCAAGTCAGGATAAGAAGGTTTGGAATGCTCAACCTTATCTGGCAGAGAGAAGAGAAAGGGGTTGAAAACAGAGCTAATAACTGATCGTGCCTTGATGAAAAAACCTCCATAAAATTGCTATAGCAGGGGGTTGGGAAAATGTCCAGGTGTGAAATACAGCCATACCCGAAAGGTG